TACGAATTTACAGCCAGATAGAATTTATTCAGAGAAAATAAATCTGTAGAGGTGGGTGACCAGCTGCCCGCGTGCACATTGACGGAACATGTGGCAGAAGACCCTGACCTCCGGGGGCCGGCCCTTTATATTTTAGGAGGGCTAGGGTGGGGTGGGGGCAGGACAGCAGGTGCAGGGGAATTCCTGGAACTGGTCTTTCAGGTGGCCGTGGGGAGCGGGGTATGAAGGCAACAGGGTGTGAGACCCAACTGAGATTCAGGGGCCAGGAATGAATTCCAGAGTTTATCTATCTTTTGGGCAATGAGCGAGAATGGCTAAGGCTTACATCTATTCCATCAATTTCCATTCCCACTTAGCATTCTATTATGCATAGTGTTCCATAGCATTGATTATGACTGTACATTATTACTTTTTTTTTAAAGTTTTATTTGAATGGCAGAGACAGAGACGGAGAGAAAGAGAGAGGTGGACAAAGAGGGAGTCAGGGCTCCCACCTGCTGATTCATTCCCCAGATGCTCTCAGTGACTGGGGCTGGGCCAGGCAGAAGTCAGCAGCTGGGAGCTCAGATCTCCCACGTGGACGGCAGGGACCTGATTACCTGAGCTCAGGGTGTGCATAGCAGGAAGCTGGAGTCAGGAGCCGGAGCTGGGCATGGAACCCGGGTGCTCTGGTGTGGGATGTGGGTGTCCTAACCAGTAGGCTAAATGCCCGAAGTCGTTATTGCTCTTTTTTTTTTTTTTTTTTAAAGATTCACTTATTTGAAAGGCAGAATTACAGAGATAGGGAGGAACAGAGAAAAAAAAAAAAGGAGAGAGAGAGAGAGAGAGAGAGAGAGAGAGAGAGAGAGATCTTCCACCTGCTGGTTCACTCCCCCAAACAGCTACAACAGCTGGGACTGGATCAGACTGAAGCCAGGAGCCTGGAACTCTGTTTGGGTCTCCCACAGGAGTGCAGGGCCCCAAGTACTTGGTTCAACTTCCACTGCTTTCCCAAGTGCATTAGCAGGGAACTGGATTAGAGATGGAGCAGCTGAGAATTGAACTAGCGCTCGTTTGGGGTACTTAATCTGCTGCACCACCATGCTGGCTCCCATTATTGCTTTTAATAGAAGATAATTTTTATTTTATTTTTTTGACAGGCAGAGTTAGACAGTGAGAGAGAGAGACAGAGAGAAAGGTCTTCCTTTTTCCGTTGGTTCACCCCCCAAATGGCTGCTACGGCTGGCGCACTATGCCGATCCGAAGCCAGGAGCCAGGTGCTTCTCCTGGTCTCCCATGCGGGTGCAGGGCCCAAGCACTTGGGCCATCCTCCACTGCACTCCTGGACTACAGCAGAGAGCTGGACTAGAAGAGGAGCAACCGGGACAGAATCTGGCATTCCAGCCGGGACTAGAACCTGGGGTGCCAGCGCCACAGGCAGAGGATTAGCCTAGTGAGCCGCAACACCGGCCAATAGAAGATAATTTCAAAAAATATTTACTTTCTTTGTTCCTGTTATCTATATTTTTATTAAAGATTTATTTATTTATTTGAAAGGCAGAGTTACACAGAGAGAAGGAGAGGCAGAGAGAGAGAGAGAGAGAGAGAGAGAGAGGTCTTCCATCCATTGGTTCACTCTCCAGATGGCTGCAATAGCAGGAGCTATGCCAATCTGAAGCCAGGAGCCAGGAGCCTCCTCTGGGTCTCCCATGCAGGTGCAGGGACCCAAGGACTTGGGCCATCTTCTATGCTTTCCCAGGCCATAGCAGAGAGCTGGATCGGAAGTGGAGCAACCGGGACTAGAACAGGCGCCCCTATGGGATGTTGGTGCTGCAGGCGGTGGCCTTACCCACTATACCACAGCGCTGGCCCCAACAGAAGATAATTTATATAAATATTTTTTGGAAGGCAATGGACTATCACCAGTTTTATAAACGACTCTGTGATAAATGTTTTTCTCCTCCCTCCCTCCCTCCCTCCCTTCCTCCCTCCCTCCCTTCTTTCCTCTCTTTCCTTCCTTCCTTCTCCTCACGTTGAGGGTGTACAGGATTAAGGGGGAGGGTCTGTGTTTTTTAGTGCATTTGATACACATTCCTTTAACAGGACCGTGGGGGTGGGGGTGGAATCATATATGATGATGGCCAAAAGTGAGTGTGGATGTGCAGTCTTCCAGACACTGCGCTAAGCACTTTCCACGTCCTAACTCTCCCATCTTCAGGACAACGCTATGAGCCAGGTCCCACTTTGATTCCCATTTTACAGATGAGAAAAGTGAGGCACAGAGCGAGCATCTACGCTGCCCGGTGGGGAGCTGGGATTTGTACTTGGGTGATGCGGTTCTGGAGCCCGGGCTCTTCTCCTGCTTCCTCCTCCCAGCAGCTCCGGGAGGCAAGTACACTCAGCGCCATTCCTGTCGATAAGGCTGTGCTGATACACGTGAAGAAACTTGTCCAAGGACACAGCTGACAAGGAGTTGGCTCCAAAGCAAGGATTGCTAGGGCCTTCGTGAGGATCCCGAATGCATGCAGGAGCGAGGCTCAGAGGAGTCCACGCACCTGCTTTTCCAGGTGCTTCTCTGGCTCCCATGGGGGACTTGGCCCTGAGGGGTGGGATGGGGTCTGTGCCCACAGCCTGGACCCTGTGACTCACTTCCTCCTGTCTTCTCCTCCTACGTCTCTTTTGGTTTCCAGAACCCTCCTAGCTGGGCATCGCGTTGGTGGCAGGAACCAGACAACTCAACCTGAATTTGTCTTAACAACAAAGAGAGTTCCTGCTCTCGAGCTGGTTAATGGCACAGAAGGAAGACGGCAGCTGGGCATGATCTGTCTGGGACCCTGGGCTCTGCTTCTCTGTGCATTGCTCAGCTCTGCCTTCTGCGTGTGTGTTGGTTTCTGTCCTTGGACGGGCGTTGTCACCTGCGGTAGCAAGATGGGTGCCGGCTGCAGCAAGACTACATCCTGCTCTCCAGTGAAACCCTGTTTCTTACCACGATGTCAAAGATTCTTCTTCGCTCCTGTTGTCTGGATCCCCACTCCTCGGCCACCTAAGCTGTCCCTGTTGTCATCACCAGGCACATCCCTTTCACTTCCTGGTCCCTCTGGGCCTTGTTGAAATAGCCCTGGATGGTGAACTCACTTCACTGAGGGCTTAGAAAAAGCAGAAGGAAATCATTCACAAAGAAGGACTCGGAGCTGGGCATGTGATGTCGGGTTGGGGTTCTTGGTCCCTGTCTGCCTCCACAGGCCACCTGCGGGAGCTTCCTGTCCAGTGAGTGCTGCCCTCTTGTGGCCAAGACCATCTCTCCCATGGCCGCGGCTCGCCCTGGAGCACCTTCTGCGTGTGCGTGGTGGGGTTTATAGCCTAGGCGCCAGGCACTGTCTTTCCGCCTGTGTCCCCGGTCCCTGCTTTCAGCCTTAGGAGCAGCCCTAGATGGCTCATCGAGGGGAAGGAGTCCTCTCTTCCAGGATTGTCCCATTTTCTAGTCCTTTCTAGTCTGGGCGTCTGGTCAGTGAAAGTCAAGTGCGAGGAGCTCCCTGCCAACCGCGTCCTGACATTTCCTGCTACCGCTGATAAACAAAAAGGCAACGCAGGGACAGCACGAAACTTAAACAACATGCTTTCCAGCGGCACAGCTGTGGGCACCTGTGGCGTGGGAAAGCCGGCACTTCGGTAGAGCCGGGATTCACACTTGCAGTAACTTCCAACCATGGAAGGGTGTCCAGGAAAGAGGTTCACCAGGCAGACCAGCCCAGCTCCTTGGAGGGGCTGCTCCCAGACAGACCTGAAGTATGGGTGTGCGACTGAAGGCGAGAGGCCCTGGACGTGGTGGGAGTCCATGCTCCGTGAAGGCCCCGAGCTCGGTCCACTGTCATCCCGCGCCGGCCATTGCTATATGCTGGCTCTAGTCCTTGGTGGGGGACGCAGGGTTGAATCAGAGAGGGTCCTCGCTCCACAGCAGTTCACGTGCCGGGGAAGAAGGCCGACTCGTGAATGCATGGTTACAGTAAAACAGAGTCCCCGTTTGGAAGGAAACGTGAGTTAAAAGTGGCAGTGGAGTAGAGATGGGGTGCCACCAGCTTCCCCTAGAGACCTTGCTTCACTGCAGAGAGCCGGGGGGCCTTGGTGCTGGCCCACCTCCTCCTGGCCGCTGAGTGCCCAGCTCTCACGTCTCTCTGCCCTCCAGCCAGCCTCAGTCCTGGAGGGCACCTGAGTCAGCTGATTGCTGGCAGCGGTTGTGCAAAAGCATGGCTGGCAGTGGAAGGGACTGATTTCCTTCCTCCTCCCCACCAGCCCACCCCAAAGAGCCCACAGAAGAAGTAAAAATCCCCACCATGGCCGGCGCCGCGGCTCACTAGGCTAATCCTCCGCCTTGCGGTGCAGGCACACCAGGTTCTAGTCCTGGTTTGGGCGCCAGATTCTGTCCCGGTTGCCCCTCTTCCAGGCCAGCTCTCTGCTGTGGCCAGGGAGTGCAGTGGAGGATGGCCCAAGTACTTGGGCCCTGCACCCCATGGGAGACCAGGAGAAGCACCTGGCTCCTGCCTTCGGATTAGTGTGGTGTGCCGGCCGCAGCACGCTGGCCGCGGCGGCCATTGGAGGGTGAACCAACGGTAAAGGACGACCTTTCTCTGTCTCTCTCTCTCATTGTCCACTCTGCCTGTCAAAAAAAAAAAAAAAAAAAAAATCCCCACCAACCTGCCCCGAGTCCCTCCTCCCCACGCCTTCCCGCACATGACTGTCCAAGTGCCTCTTAGAAGTCAGATCCTTTCCCCCTTCAGTCTGGCCAAGCAAGGGGGAAACTTGCAAAGGTGACCTCCGAGGGAAATGGGACAGAAGCCAAGGGAAGCGCGTAGAAGAATAGGAAGAGGAGAGAAAGGCTCGTCTCCCGAGCTGCACCTTCCTACCGGGGCTCGGGAGCCCCTGACCCGCTGGAGCCCCAGACTTCATCTGCTCCTCCCCAAACATGGATGTGGGTGGGGCTCAGCGGGGAGGTGTGGTCTGAAGTAGTTTCTCTATTTCCCTTTATTCGTAAGTTCTCCCTAACCGTGAGCTCATTCTGGTCTCTGGGCCGCAGGCGCCTACGGCTGGACACACCTGGCAGTGCCTCAGGTGGGAAGCCCCGTGTGATAGCCACGATGTTCCTTGGGAGAGGGAGGCTCGAATCGGCTCTGTTTTAGGGCACGCGTTCGCTTCTGCACGACCCGAGGATTTCTGCTGAACCGGCTTCTCTCTTGCTCCTTCCTGGTCACGAATTCAGCTCCGATCTTAAGGTAAGGACACAGTCTCTCCATCCCCTGCCCTCCCACCTCTTCCTTGAGTGGACCAGAGGTTGACGATCCCCCAGCTTGGTGTTCGTCACCGAAGACTTTGTCTTCTGTGAAAATGCAAAGATTGGCAGGGAGAGAACATGGAGAGAACATGCTAGAGTCGGTGGACCTGAGTGACGTTCTCCTGGGAACTCAGACCTGGAGGGAAATTAGAGGGTAACTCCTCTGTCTTCCTGAGCGTACAGACGAGAAAGCAGAAGTCAGGCGCGCAGCTCCTGGTCGTCAGCTGCGGGGAGAATGGAGGCTGGAGGCAGGCGCCCTGCTTTCCTGGCGTGTAGTTTTCTGACTGTTCTCTGGAGATCTCTGGGGGCTGGGGGTGGGGTTGGGGGGCTCTTCAGAGGCTGTGCAGTGAGCAGCATCCCTCCCCTCACAGCTGCTCAGCTTTGATTGGCTTCCCATGTTTGGCTTTTGAGAACATTCAACACAGTGTTTCACAAAGAAAATGTGATGATTCTGTGGGTGCTTAGTGAGGGGGCACTTCAGTGACCAAGACCAAGATGGAGAGTAGCCCCTCAAATGCTTAAAATTCTTCTAACAGAGAACCCAAGAGTTTACTGTCCATTTACAGACAAAGCGTAACAGGCAGATGGTTCTCAGCTTAAGAGTTTTTGACTTTGTGATGGTGCAAAAATGTATCCACACAATCATTCTGCAGTAAAGCAATGAAACAGTCAATACCTTATTCTTTAGTTTCGATTTGTTTTATTTTATTCGAAAGGCAGAGTTACAGAGAGGGAGACAGAGCTCTTCCACCTGCTGGTTCACCCCGCACAGGGCCACAACAGCCAGGCTGGGCCTGGCTTTCCCAGGCACGTTAGCAGGAAGCTGGATTGGAAGTAGAGCAGCTGGGACTTGAACTGGTGCCAGTATGGGGTGCCAGTGTTGCAGGTGGAGACTTAACTCATTACACCACAACCCCATCCCCTCTAAAGTTTGTTGCTATCACTCCCTTCCCCCAGTAGATTTTAAAGAGGATAAACAAGAATCAAGGAGAAGATAGGAGAAATAAGATAGAAAGTGACATGAGTGGGGTGTTGCGGAATTGTGGTGTAGCGGGTAAAGCTTCTGCCTGTGATGCCGATGGCCGTATGCACATCAATTTGTGTCCCGGCTGCTCCTCTTCCAATGCAGCTCCCTGAGTGGCCTGGGAAAGCGGCAGAAAGATGGCCCAAGTGTTTGGGCCCCTGCCGCCCACATGCAAGACCTGGATGAAGCTCTTGGTTCCTGGTTTTGGCCTGGCCCAGTGCTGGCACTTGTGGCTATTTGGGGAGTGAACCAGCAGATGGAAGATCTCTCTCTCTCTCTGTGTCTCTCCCTTTCTCTCTGGAACTCTGCCTTTCAGATAAAAAAAATATTAAAAAAAGAAAGAAGAGGACATATGGGAACAGATTTGTCTCCTTTCACTTTGCTTAACTGCTCCTCCTCCGAATGTTTAAGGCCAACTGGTCCTCCCCTCTGCATGTGCAGAGGCTGAACCTGGGGGATGTTACAGACGGGGCAGAGACAGAGCTGTGGGTTGAGCTGACACAGTGGTAGGGCCAAGAGAGGGGACAGGACTTTTCCATGTTGAGTGTTGTATCCTGGCTCATACTCAGGCCTGGCTTTGAAGATTGGTGATGCTAGGAAGCCACCCTCACAAGGAACCCAGGTTGAAGGTCAAGGGGGTGGGCTCTGGTTGCTGAACCAGCCAAGAAGTAAAGGAGATGCCAAAACCGTTCTTCCACCCTCGATGAGACTGACTTGACTCTGAATTACTAAATCCTGTTTCTTCCCTTCTAACCTTTTGACTAGGTGAAACTGTGGCCGTAATGGAAGTAAACGTATGGAATATGACTGATCTGTGGACGTGGTTTGAGGATGAGTTTGCAAATGCTACTGGTATGCCTCCTGTAGAAAAAGATTATAGCCCCTGTCTGGTAGTCACCCAGACACTTAACAAATATGTTGTGGTCGTCATCTATGCCCTGGTCTTCCTGCTGAGCCTGCTGGGCAACTCCCTGGTGATGCTGGTCATACTGTACAGCCGGAGCAACCGTTCGGTCACCGACGTCTACCTGCTGAACCTGGCCATGGCCGACCTGCTTTTTGCCCTGACCATGCCTATCTGGGCCGTCTCCAAGGAAAAAGGCTGGATTTTCGGCACGCCCCTGTGCAAGGTGGTCTCGCTTGTGAAGGAAGTCAACTTCTACAGTGGAATCCTGCTCCTGGCCTGCATCAGTGTGGACCGCTACCTGGCCATTGTCCATGCTACTCGCACACTGACCCAGAAGCGCCACTTGGTCAAGTTCATATGTCTGGGCATCTGGGCGCTGTCTCTGATTTTGTCCCTGCCCTTCTTCCTCTTCCGCCAAGTCTTTTCTCCAAACAATTCCAGCCCGGTCTGCTATGAGGACCTGGGTCACAACACAGCGAAATGGCGCATGGTGCTGCGGATCCTGCCACACACTTTCGGCTTCATCCTGCCGCTGCTGGTCATGCTGTTTTGCTATGGGTTCACCCTGCGCACGCTGTTCCAGGCCCACATGGGGCAGAAGCACCGGGCCATGCGGGTCATCTTCGCCGTCGTGCTCATCTTCCTTCTCTGCTGGCTGCCCTACAACCTGGTCCTGCTCGCAGACACCCTCATGAGGACCCACGTGATCCAGGAGACGTGTCAGCGTCGCAATGACATTGACCGGGCCCTGGACGCCACCGAGATTCTGGGCTTCCTGCACAGCTGCCTCAACCCCATCATCTACGCCTTCATTGGCCAAAACTTTCGCAATGGATTCCTCAAGATGCTTGCGGCCCGCGGCCTTATTAGCAAGGAGTTCCTGACACGACATCGGGTCACCTCTTATACTTCTTCCTCTACCAACGTGCCTTCAAATCTCTAAAGCCATCTGTGAAAGACTGCCTCCCCCTGATGATGGAAGAATAAGCACAGCTTCGGGGTTGTGTAGGGTGGTCTGGCTCTGGCTTCGTGCTGTCTGCATTTGGGAGGGGGGTTATGGAGTGTGGGGAGTCCAGGACTGGTGTCTTCAGGGTCCAAGCCAAACCTCTGAGGACTTGTGGAGGTGCCTCCAAGGCCTGACCCTCACCCCCGCTGTGCAGAGGAAGCAACATTGTATTTGTTGAGCTCTTGCATCTTCCACCTGCCCACTGGGCAGCTGGCACAGCCATTCATTGAATTAAAGCACCAGGACTGAAACTGTTTCTTCTCGTAGCACGTGGTCCCACCAGCTTGGTTGGAACCTCTGTGTCTCCCTAATCTGAGCTCACGGAGCTCTGTTCCTTCTGCAAGTATGTTGCAATGTCTTCTGGGGACATTGAGGCAGGTGCTGTGGGAACATAAAGCCTCCAGGTGGCCTTGTGATGGAGCTGGACATCACATTTCTCCCTTGGGTTTGGTGGGTGAACGAAGTCGGGCGGGGTGGGGTGGGGGAGTTGAGAATCCAGACCTGTTGTCATAGGGGACCCTTTGTCCCCACGAGCAGCACCACAGGCAGGCCACTGATGTGCTGAGTGCATGCCAAGCCACGTGGGCTACTGGATTAGCAGCTTTTCTCCTGACTCTTGGAACTTCCAGTGTGACGTGGGACATTCTCAAAGCTTACAGACCCACATAGAGTTGTCGATCAGCCAGACCGCCCAATATGTCTAATAAAACTTCTGTGCCACGTTTGTCCCTGTGAATGTATCTCGGACGTGACCGAGAGGAAAATGCGTGTGTGGTATTGCTTGCTGGTCGTCCCTGGGTTGATGGACAGTGTTCCCGGGGGCCTTAGTTCCTCTTAGATCTGCAGCTAGCGGATCTAAGCTAGCTCATCCCCATGCCCCAGGCTGAGGAGGACCCCTTGTTCCGGAAGGAGAAGGAAACACACAGTCTCAGCTTGACCTGCACGTGGACACGGCTTTGTGCTCCGCCCCTCCCCGAGTGCTCACAAGGACCCGTAGTGGTTTCTTTGCTTTGCCTGGGTGAGGACAGGAGTCCTGTTCACTTTATATCCCCAGTGTTGGACATGCTCCCTGGAGCCCATTAAATGCTAAGTAAATATTTATTGAATGAATGAACGGAAGCTCCAAAGACCCAAACTCATTCGCACAGCATCTGTTCAAAGCGGCTTCTTATCTGTACTCTCCCCTTTGCCCTTCTGCCACCCTCGGCAACAACACATTTCCCTCCTGGAGTTTGTCTTCCTGGTTTATAGTGGTTGCATTTGTAGCTGTGTAAAAATGTTGCAAGCCAGCGCTGGGGACGTCAGCGTTGTTTGCATTGCTAATGGTAGGAAATGCACTCAAATCAGCTTACGCAAAACTGAGGCTGGATTGCTTAAGGCGGGAAGTGTCAGGGACGGTGTGACCTTGACAATGGGGTGAATAAGGTGGAAGGTTAGACCACGATGGATGTCAAGCATAGGCAGAGACCCAGAAACAGGGAGAGGCTGCAGCTGGGGTGATGGAGATTCAGGGATGTGTGGGGGGGGGTTGGGACTGCGTGTGAGTGAGGTGTGAGGTGGGGTGTGGGGTGAGTAGGTGTGGGGTGGGGTGAGTCTCAGGGAGCAGGTGGTCAGAAATTGGGGATGGGTGAGTAGCTACAAGACTGAAGCAAAAAGATATCATGGGTTGGGTCACCATTCTTGACCCGGGCTTGGTGTAAGAGGACCCACATGATCGAGGGTGGCTCCCCAGCCTGTCTTGCTGAGGCTGACAAAGGAGTTAGACTCAGGCCCTCAGTGATGGATCGGACTCAGGCAGGAAAGAATGCTGGGAGCGTGCAGGGGAGGAAGGCTGAGAACTAGGTCCTCTGCTGCTCCTGGTCTTGTCCCCTCCTCCTGCTGCCTTACACCGCCTACACGTCCTCCTACACCGCCTCAATGTCCTTCTCCCCTCTCCTCTGGGCGCTGCTGCGAAGACAGTGCCACCAGGAGCTTCAGTAAGTAAATAAAGATGCACACTGGGGTTTGGGGGAATACAAATGACTACTAAACCTATGCAAAGATGCCCAGCTTAACTAATCACTTGGGAAATGGAAATCAAACAGCAATAACATAGCTTCCAAGGGTTTCCAACAGGAGAGGGATGGAGAACTCCTTTCAAATAAATGCAATGTTTTTCAATTAGATATATTAATGTGCCATGTGATTCTCTGGGTATGACTCAAGACATGGATGATTTGGATTTGAGGTTTTCTTTTCTTTCTTTCTTTTCTTTTTTCTTTTCTTTTTTTTTTTTTTTTTTTTTGACAGGGAGAGTGGACAGTGAGAGAGAGAGAGAGAGAGACAGAGAGAAAGGTCTTCCTTTACCGTTGGTTCACCCTCCAATGGCCACTGCGGCTGGCGAACCACACTGATCCGAAGCCAGGAGCCAGGTGCTTCTCCTGGTCTCCCATGTGGTGCAGGGCCCAAGCACTTGGGCCATCCTCCACTGCACTCCTGGGCCACAGCAGAGAGCTGGCCTGGAAGAGGGGCAACCGGGACAGAACCCAGTGCTCCAACCGGGACTAGAACCCGGGGTGCCAGCACCGCAAGCGGAGGATTAGCCTATTGAGCCACAGCGCCGGCCTCTTTCCTTTTCTTTGTTCCTTTTTTTTTTTTAAAGATTTATTTATTTTATTTGAAAGGCAGAGTTACAGAGAGGCAGAGGCAGAGAGAGAGAGAGGTCTTCCATCTGTTGGTTCACTCCCCAGATGGCTACAATGGCTGGGACTACTTTGACCCGAAGCCAGGAGTCAGGAGCTTCTTTTGGGTCTCCCATGCTGGTGCAGGGGCCCAAGGACTTGGGCAATCTTCCGCTGCTTTCCCAGGTCATAGCAGAGAGCTGGACTGGAAGTGGAGCAACTAGGACATGAACCAATGCCCATATGGGATGCCAGCACTGCAGGCAGCGGCTTGACCCTCTACGCCACATCACCAGTCCCTAGATTTGAGTTTTTAAAAATGCTGGGACTTCAGTGTTTTAATTAGCATGGTAGCCGGCGCCGCGGCTCACTAGGCTAATCCTCCGCCTAGCGGCGCCGGCACACCGGGTTCTAGTCCCGGTCGGGGCGCTGGATTCTGTCCCGGTTGCCCCTCTTCCAGGCCAGCCCTCTGCTGTGGCCAGGGAGTGCAGTGGAGGATGGCCCCGGTGCTTTGGGCCCCTGCCCCCCCTTGGGAGGCCAGGAAAAAACCCCCCTGGGTTCCTGGCTCCTGCCATCGGGATCAACCGCGGGGGGCCCCGCCCCCAGCGCCCCCGCCGCGGCGGCCATTGGAGGGTGAACCAATGGCAAAGGAAGACCTTTCTCTCTGTCTCTCTCTCTCACTGTCCACTCTGCCTGTCAAAAAAAAAAAAAAAAAAAAATTAGCATGGTATATCGAAATATCAAAAACTGGGACACAAAGAGAGAGTCAGAGACAAGGAAAGATCTTCCAGCTGCTGGTTCACTCCCCAAATGCCAACAACAACCAGGGCAGTGTCAGGCCAAAGCCAGGAGCTCAGATCTCGGTCTGGGTCTCCCACATGGGTGGCAGGGACCCAAGCACTTGAGCCATCATCTGCTGCTTCCCATTAGCAGGAAGTTGGATTGGAAAAGGAGCCAGGACTTGAATCAGTCCTCTGCTAGGGGATGCAGGCCTCCCAAGTGGAGACTTCACCACCCAGCCAGACGCCCACCCCCAAAACTGGTGTTTCAGTCACTCGACATTATGAGGGTTAGACGGCTGCTCAAAACCAGAGAGTTGGATTGCCCCAGGGAGGAGCCCAGTGTCCAGAATGAGATTGGGGTTAGGGGTATAGTGCCCATCAGGCTGAGTGGTGCGGTGGGAGGGACAGGAATTGGGATTGAATGTACGTCCTACACAATGCTTGCTTTCCCAGGTGCACTGTTAGGGAGCTGGAAAGGCAGAGGGGCAGCCTGGACTCTGGTGCTCTGACATGGGTGCCAGCATTGCAGGCAGTGACTTAGCCCACTGTGCCGCAACACTAGCCCCTCATCTTTCTTTTTATCAGAGTATGCTTATGCATGTTGCTGAAAAAGTGAAATGACTTTGTAGAGCTTATGATAAAACAAAAACAAAACTAAACAAAACAAAACAAAAACACAGAACCACAGCAGCCTTCCCGTCCCGATCCCTGCAGTGGAAGGCAGCAACCTTCTAGCAGCCTGGCTGTCTGCTCGTGGGCCGCGTGGTTCTGAATATCTCACTTGTTCTGCTGGCTCTCGGTTTTCCCCAAGATTTAAGCACCATCTGTTGACTTTCTATTTTGGTACTTGAGGAAGTGATGCCCTCTTAACCTCCCTTGCTTTCTTCCTGGTCCAAGCAACACAGATGCTGCCTTTCCCGTCTCCCCAGGATGCAGGCTTTTGTTAAAATGACTATGTGAGAGGCCGGCACCACAGCTCACTAGGCTAATCCTCCGCCTGTGGAGCCAGCACCCCAGGTTCTAGTCCCGGTTGGGGCACCGGATTCTGTCCCGGTTGCCCCTCTTCCAGTCCAGCTCTCTGCTGTGGCCCGGGAAGGCAGTGGAGGATGGCCCAAGTGCTTGGGCCCTGCACCCACATGGGAGACCAGGAGGAAGCACCTGGCTCCTGGCTTCGGATCGGCGCAGCGAGCCAGCCGCAACATGCTGGCTGCAGCTGTCATTGGGGGGTGAAGCAACGGCAAAAGGAAGACCTTTCTCTCTGTCTCTCTCTCTCTCTCTCTCTCACTGTCTAACTCTGCCTGTCAAAAAAACAAAAATGACTATGTGAGAAATGATTCGCGGTTGGGTTCGGTGCTTACATGTCTGTCCTCCCTGGACTCAATGGTAGGATTTTCCATGCACTTCTCACTACGTCAGTGCCAACGTGTCCCTTGGTCCACGCACAATCTGTGGACCATTCTTCCTTGGAGACCTCACCCCTGGAGCCCTTCACCGTCTCATTCCTACCCAGACGGGCTCCTCTCCAGGCCTGTTGCTTTCTTCTGAATCACCTGGCTACAATTCCAGGTGCATTTTAGACTCTGCCCATCAGTTTGTACAAAACAGCTAAATGGGATTTGGGTATGGATCTATGCTGACTCCCTAGATCAATTTGTAGGAAATTTATACCGTATTACTTAGTCTTCCAGGCCACGGGCATGGTATCCTTCTCTACTGATTTAGATGTTCTTTATTTTTTCTAAAGAATGTCATGTGGTTTTTAGTACATAGATCTTGTAACTATTTTGGTAAATTTATCTGCGTCTTATGATTTCTTAAAAAAGATTTATTTGTTTGAAAGGCAGAATTAAAGAGAGAGAGAGAGAGGGAAAGACAGAAAGAGAGAGGAAGAGGTCTTCTATCCACTGATTCAGTCTCCAGATGGCCACAAAGCCAGGAGACTGGAACTCCATCCAGGTCTCTCACATGGTGACAGGAGCCCAAGCACCTGGGCTATCTCCTGCTGCCTTCCAAGGAGCATTAGCAGGGAGATGGACTGGAAGTGGAGCAGACAGAGACTTGAACTTGTACCCATATGGGATGCATATGGTACATATGCATCTGGTGTTAACAGACAGCAGCTTAACCCATTGTGCTACAACAGTGGCTCCATTTTATTTATTTATTTATTTTTAAAGATTTATTTATTTATTTGAGAGGAAGAGTTACAGACAGAGAGAGGGAGAGACAGAGAGAGAGGTCTTCCATCTCCCCAAATAGCCGCAACAGCTGAAGCTGGACTG